GTACCCAAAGTAGGGTCACATCATTTGTGCAATCATACATGTACCTAAGATAATGATGACCATCTCATTCCACTGTCTTTCCAATCCCCACGCCCCTCCTCCACCTTTGCCCCATTCAGAGTTACTCGATTCATTCCCCCTCCCCATTATGGATTAGCATCTACTTATCAGAGAAAACATTTGGCTTTGGTTTGCGGGGATTGGCTTACTTCGCTTAGTATGATATGCTTTAACTCCATCCATTTACCTGCAGATGCCAAAATTTTATTCTCTTTTATTGCTGAATAATATTCCATTGTGTATATATACCACAGTTCTTTATCCATTCATCTATTGAAGGGCATCTAGGTTGGTTTTATAGTTTGACTATTTGTGAATTGTGCTGCTGTGGACATTGATGTTGCGGTGTCCCTGCAGTATGCTGTTCTTAAGTCCTTTGGGTATAGACCAAGGACTGGGATAGCTGGGTCAATTAAATGTGTGTTTTTAAAACATTAAACTACTCATTCTGATTGGATAAATCACGTATTATAGTACACCTTTAAAAAGATGGAAAACTTTTTTTCCTGTCTCACATGTCCATTTCTATCTCTGGAGGAGAATTTCTCACATATCTTCTAGGTTAATATTCAGATGAGCATCTATGTATTTAAGGTGCATTCTCTTCACTCTTTATCAGTCCAAATACAGCTGCCTCATTCTTCTGAGTTTCCCAGAGGGACTTCACAAAGTAGCTAATCTAAGTCATTTATTTTACATTTTACAGAGGAGGAAACTGAGTTCCAGAAATGTTAAGTGACTGGTTAGGACTCTATTTTGAAGTGAATTGACTTTTCCTAATGTATTCTTAGTTTTTTCCCAAAAAAAATTAATTGCTAATAATTGTACATGTGTATGGAGTGCCATATTATATTTTAATACGGGTATACATCGTGCAGTCCTCATATCAGGGCAATATTTTCTGTTTCCTCATATACTTATCATTTCTTTATAGTGAAAACATTCCAAATCCTTTCCTTTAGTGCTTTTTTTTTTCTTCTTTCTTTGTACTGGGGATTGAACCCAGGGTGCTTAACCACTGAGCCACAAACCCAGCCCTATTTTGTATTTTATTTAGAGACAGGGTCCCACTGAGTTGCTTAGCACCTTCTTTTTGCTGAGGCTGGCTTTGAACTCACAAACCTCCTGCTTCAGCCTCCTGAGCCACTGGGATTACAGGTGTGTACCACCATGCCCGGCTCCCAGCCTTTTTAAAAAAATTTTATTTAGAGACAGGGTCTTGCTGGGTTGCTTAGGGCCTTGCTAAGTTGCTGAGGCTGGCTTTGAACTCGTGATCCTCCTTCTTCAGCCTCCCAAGCCGCTGGGATTACAGGAGTGCATCACTACACCTGGCTTCCTTCAGCTCTGTTGAAATATACCACACTTTATTGTTCTCTGTAGTCACTCTATGGTATAGTGCTGGGCTTCAAAACCAGAACTTCATGTCTGCTAGGCAAGTGCTCTACCCCTCCTCTCAGGCCTTTTAAAATAATGCTTTACTCAGATTTTGGGCCATCTTTAAGTTTATGATTTCTACTATTATTACACTTCATATATTTAAATCTTTAGATGTTTAAATCAGAATATGCTACTTGATTTACACAAGTGGGAAGTTGATTCTTTTTTTTCTTATTTTTTATTCATGTTCTGTAATTGTACATAATGATGGGATTTGTTGTTATGTAGTAGTACTTGGACACTGTATAACAGTGTAATTTGGCCACTGTCACTCCGCAGCACTTCTCCCCTCCCTCCTTACCTCCCATCCCTTGGTTCCTTTCTACTGAAGATCTCTCTTTAATTTTTATGAGATCACTTTTTTCCCCTTTTTCCTCTCTAGTTTCTCATACCAGAGAAAACGTAAGGATCATTGACCTTCTGAGTTTGGCTTATTTCACTTAACATGATAATCTTTAGTGCCAAACATTTTCCTGAAAATAACCCAATTTCATTTTTCTTTATGACTGAATAAAACTCCATTGTGTATATATACCACATTTTCTTTGTCCATTCACCTGTTGATGGACACCTTGTTTGGTTCCATAGTTTAGCTGTTGTGAATTGTGCTGGTACAAACATGGGTATACATGTATCACTATAGTATGGTGACTAATTCTTTAGGATAAATACCAAAAAGTGGGTCATGTGGTAGTTCATGCCTAATCTTTTGAGAAACATCCATACTGATTTCCACAGTATAAAAGTGTTCCTTTATCTCCACATCTCTTCAGCATTTATTATTATTTGTATTCTTGATGACTGCCGTTCTGACTGGTGTGAGATGAAACTCAGTATAGTTTTTTTTTTTTTTTTTTAGTTATAGGTAGACATAATGTCTTTATATTTATGTGGTGCTGAGGATGGAACCCAGTGCCTCACACATGCTAGGTGAGCACTCTAACGCTGAGCCACAATCTCAGCACCCTCAGTGTAGTTTTTTTGGTACTGAAGATTGAACTGAGGGGTGCTCAATCACTGAGCCACATCCCCAACCCTTTTTTGTATTTTATTTAGAGACAGGGTCTTGCTGGGGTGGTAAATGCTTCACTAAATTGCTGAGGCTGGCTTTGAACTCGAGAATCCTCCTGGCTCAGTGTAGTTTTGATTTGAATTTGTTTAGTTGCTAATGATGTTGAACATTTTAAAAAAATCTATTTCTTGGCCATTTGTATTGCTTCTTTTGAGATGTATCTATTTAATTCATTTGCCCATTTATTAATTGGTTATTTGGTTTTTTAGTGTGAAGTTTTTGAGTTCTTTGTATATTCTAGAGATTAATCCTCTGTCAAAAGAGTAGCTAGCAAAGAATTTCTCCCATTCTGTGGGTTCTCTTTTCACATTCCTAGTTGTTTCCTTTGAAACTTTTAAATTTGATGCCATCCCACTTATTAACTCTTGGCATTATATCCTGAGCTTTGGAGGTCCTATTAAGAAAGTTGTTGCCCAGGCCTATATGCTGGAGTATTGACCCTACATTTTCTTGTAGAAGTTGCATAGTTTCTGGTCTAATTCTGAGGTCTTTGATTAATTTTGATTTGATTTTTGTGCAGGGTGAAAGATAAAGGTCCAGTTTTCTTTTTCTTTTTTTATTTATTATTTATCAGGGGACACAACATCTTTGTTTGTATGTGGTGCTGAGGATCGAACCTGGGCTGCACGCATGCCAGGCGAGTGCGCTACCGCTTGAGCCACATCCCCAGCCCCCAGTTTTATTTTTCTAAGTATGGTTAACCAGTTTCCCCAGCATCATTTGGTAAGACTGTCTTTTCTCCAATGTACGTTTTGGGGAATTGATTTCTAGAGCCATTCTGAGCATTCCATATCTCTGACAATAACTATAAAGCACCCCCGCCCCATATACACACTTTTGGTACCAGGGTTGAACCCAGAGACTCTTAACCACAGAACCACAACCTTAGACCTTTTTATTTTTTATTTTGTGATAGGATCTCACTGAGTTGCTTACTTCCTTTCTAAATTGGTCTCAAACTTGCTATCTTTCTGCCCCAGTCTTCAAGTCTTTGGGATTACAGGCATGCACCACTGTGCCTGGCTAGTAATGCCCATTTCATTTGGTGGTTTGAGAGATTAATTTTTTTCCCAGTCAAGAGACACTTCTTCTTCTTTTTTTGCTTCACCTTGAACTCTTGCATTTATCTTGCTTCTTTTTTATATATGTTTGTGTATGGGATCTCTCTTTCCCTGACCATTACACATGCTGCATTTTGAAATTGAACACCACAGGGCTTCATTTCTTGAGTGTTTGACAATTACCCACTCTCCCTCATTCTGGACACAAATGCGTTACCACAAGGAGGTTCATAATTAAATCTGGTGACATGAAACTACATGATATAACATTTGGCCCATGCAATAACGTGAAACAGCATCTTTTTATATAATCTTACTTGTCTAAATTATGTTATCCATTGATATTTGCCAGTAACTTTCCTGTTACTACATATGGTAGAAAGGATACTAATAAGGATTTTAGTATTTTTTTTCTTTTTATGGGTACTCTCAATGGTAGAGTGCATGTCTAGCTGTACAAGTTCCCTGGGTTTGATTCCCTGTACCACACAAAAACAGCATGAAAAAAAGAAAAGTTTACCCTCAAATATATCTATTTACCTTAGTACTGTAGCTGTGCAACATTTCTATGAGATACAGACAGCTGTTAAATTTTTTTGTTGCAAAGCAAGGAGTCCAGGCATACTTTGCATTTTATATTTATGCCTTTTGTACATGTATGTATATTATGTAATTTTATATTTTATATATAGGCCTTTGCAGCCAATTGTTTGAGGATATGGTTTGATATATTTCAGTTGGTACAGATGGAGAACCCTAGAAGTTTAAAGCAGAAAAACAAAACTGGTTTTAAAAATTTGATTTCAGAATAACTAGTTGAGTAAGCAGCTTCTTAAAAGCCTTATGAAGCCTTATGTGGGTATAGACCTTTCAGGTCCCGAGGGGTTTCTGCTGCCCCTCAATGAAACGATGAAGTGGGCTATGGAAATCTGCAGAGCTTTTAACTATCTTGGATGAAAACAAAGATGTCTGTTTTCATTTCTTTGTCTTTCATTGCAATGGATTTGTGGATTATTTAGTATAATTCCATATCACTCTTGGTATATTTCATTTACCAGAGAGGGAAAGATAAACTAAAGAAAACAACATTCCTTCTTGATTAATTTTTCTTATATTAAATGTATACTAGTCTTTAGATATGCCAGTTAATTTTAATTATTATTATGAAAGATAGCTATTCTTTAAGTCTTCTTTTGATTGGATGAATTAAGTAAAATAATGCCATTAGTTATAAGAAAAGATCTGTAATTTTCTTGCTTTCTGTAGTAACCCATTCTCTCTCTCTCTCTCTCTCTCTCTCTCTCTCTCTCACACACACACACACACACACACACACCTTACCCAAAAAATATAACTTTTTTTCCTATTAGAGATGAAGATGACATCAATGATGTGACTTCCATGGCAGGGGTCAATCTCAATGAAGAAAATGCCTGCATCTTAGCAACAAATTCTGAATTGGTTGGTACACTCATTCAATCATGTAAAGACGAGCCATTTCTTTTCATAGGAGCTCTACAAAAGAGAATTTTGGACATTGGTAAGTACAATTATGAATTTTGGTCTGATAGGAAAATCTGTTGAGGGAAAATATTAAGAGAGACCACCTGGAACTCTGAGGTTTTAAATAAGGCTTTAGAATTAATCAGGATTTGGGGGATGTTATCAAAAGAAGTATTTTATTTTATAGATTATTAATATAATCTAAACCATATAACTTTAGATAATAGAAGATAAGATTTAGATAATAGAAGATAAGATTTCATTCCGTTTCTTTTTTTTAAATATATATTTTTTTAGTTGTCAATGGACCTTTATTTTTTTTATTTATACATGGTGCTGAGAATCGAACCTAGTGCCTCACACATACTAGGCAAGCACTCTGCCACTGAGCCACAATCCCAGTCCTTATTCCAGTTTCTTGATGGGGAATAGATGTGCATTTTTACATGAATGTATAATATGGTATATTATTTTTTCTATCCTGTTCCTTATTTGGCTCTTAGGCATATATGTGTGCAAATTCACTCTCATGTTACAAGTTTGTATTTATAAGATATAGGAACAGCTACTGAGAGCAAGTCCCTTTTTCCTTGTCTCAACCCTGAAATTTTGTCTAGTTCCAGGAGTAGTTGTCAGTAGGCTTCACTGTGGGAAAGAATGTGGGAGAGAACACACCAATGTAGATACTTAGCTTTTTGTTGTTCTTAAATCACAAACTCATTACCATGTAAGACTGCAATCTTCTCCACATGAATTGTTAAAAGACAAGTTGGAGAGAGTATTTTTGTGTCTGAGTTATGCCATTATTTTGTATCTTGACCCTAGGACTTGTCAGGGACCAGCTCTTTTTCTTCATCCATTTCACATTTGGGGGATAGGTGTTAATGAACTTTGAATGTACTTGAGTAGGAATCTTTGTGTTTTATATTGAAGGCTTAATACAGAGTTGATTGTGATTTTTTAATATATCCATGATATATTTTTAAAAATATTTATTTTTTAGTTTTAGGTAGACACAGTATCTTTATTTTTATTTTTATGTGGTGCTAAGAATAGAACATAGTGCCTCACACATGCTAGGCGAGTGGGCTACCACTTGAGCCACATCCCCAGCCCTCACCATGGTATTTTTAAGGACTGCAAAGTATATTACTACTACACACTTTAAGTCTACTTCACAATTAATGAATATTTGAACTACACTATGCTCTACAAATGACCGCTTTTCATTTCTACTTTAAATTAAGGATTTGTCTTTTTTATCGTGAACAACTAGAGTTTGCGAGTAGTTGAAAAGATAGGAATTAATAAAATCTGTGAAATGTTTATTTGCTGTTTGTGTTTTTCCTACCTCTCTTTCCTTCAAACCCCTTTCTCCCTCCCTCCCTCCCTCCCTTCCTTCCTTCCTTCCTTCCTTCCTTCCTGGTATTTTCTTCTTTGCATGTGTATTTTATAATACTGTTTGGATCCAGTTCCTTAATTTTGGAGCAAGCCTAAGCATTATACCTTCTTCTGATAATATAGGAAATTTATTGGTATTTTAATTCCTTAATGCCATATAATTATCTAAAGCATTGGTAGAGTAGAAGTAGATACTTAGGTTTATCAATTCCTGTCCCTGTCCAAATTTTATTTCTAGTTTAATTTAAACTAGATTGATTGTAATGATAAAAAAAAAAATTTAGCACTGAAAGAGTATTTTTGGTTACTTAGGACAGGGATCAGCAACTTTTTTCCAAAAAGGGCCAGATGGTAAATATTTGCCACTTTATGGCCCATATGGTTTCTGTCACAGCTGCTCAGCTCCGCTGTCTTAAGGCAAAAGCAATCATAGACAATATGTAAACAAATGGGCAAGACTATTCTCTTGGGCTGCTGTAACAAAATATAGCACACTAATGGCTTAAATGAAAAAAACATTTATTCCTTATAGTTGTGGAGGATGGAGATGACCCTGTGTACTTACAGGATCAGGGTCTTGGTGAGGGCCCTCTTGATGGTTTTCTGACTGTAATCCTCCTGCTGTATTCTCATGTGGCAAAAAGAGAGGTAAAGAGAGGTAACTGTCTTATCTCTCATTATCCCTTTCATTTGGGCTCTGCCTGTGACTTCATTATCCTCCAAAAGTCCACTCTAAATACAATTACATTGGAAGAGGGTTTCAGCATAAATTGAGGTATTGGGGGGCACAAATTCACTGCAGTGCTATTCCCATAAAACTTTGTGACTATAAAGAGAGATAAGATTGGGCTTGTTGGCCATAATTTGGAAGCCTCTGATTTGGGAGAATAAGGGAACAGCTATTTTTATATTAATTTCTTAATAATGAAATGCAAAGTTGTCATAATATAATAGTCAACTGCAAAATAATAATTCTGAATTAGATAAGCTTTAATAAAAAATAAAACCATTGAGTGAATGGTGTTAATGCATTTCTAGGAATGTTTTCCACTTATAATAAAATTCCTTCTTTACAAAATATGCCAGAACAAAGGCCATTCCTTAAAGACTGAAATTATTCTGGGATGCCTGTAATTCCAGTAGCTTGGAAGGCTGAGTCAGGAGGATGCAAGTTCAAAGCCAGATTCAGCAACTTAGTGAGACCTTCAGCATTTGAGTGAGACTTTCAAAATAAAAAGTAATTTAAAAAGTAGGGGGGAGAGGGGTAGGCTAGGGATGTAGCTCAGTGATAAAGTGTGTCCTGGGTTCAGTTTCCAGTAAACTGCAGGTTTCTCCCTATCCCCCTTATAAATTTATCCAAATAAATTTTTAAATATGTTTTTCTGCTTGGATAATGTTAGAAGATTAAATGCCTGTGTTCTTTATTTCCCTGATTACCTAAATTAAATTGCACAAACATTAAATAAAATCATATAAGCATGCATGCACTAACTAGTTCTCCTGAATCAACTATGCTGAATTTGTTTAAAAACAGAATTGTACTTAAAAGTGAGAGTTTCTACTAAATGACCTTCCAAGGAGAATGATTCTACAGGCCAAGTGAAACAATATCTGTTTAACTTTGTAACTTTAAATAAATCGTATTTTATTACCAGCTAATGAAAATAATTTAGAAAATTTGTTCTTCTCTAAGCCCTGGAATTATTTGTTAATATTTTAAGAATTGGACATTCTTAATGTTAGATAAATTACCTTTATTTTATAAATATATATGAAATTATTTCAAAGGTCTCCCACCTAAACAGTAAATATTTTTAAGTGCTTAGTTTCTTTCAACTTAGCCTGAAATATGTTTGTTTTTTTTATTTACCCTATGTTTAAATGTAATTTTAGTCACTGGATTGTTTTGAAATTTTACTGTTTCTTCTATAGAAGGCCTCACTATTTATTTATGCAGAGGTTTATAATAAAATAGATTTGTTTTGTTTTTTTCCCTGCATGAATCTGAAATTGGAGATGAATTCTATTTTGCTACAGAATAATTAATTACATCTTAAAAGGTGTGGTTTAGGAGAAATTGGAAAAATTTATATCTTCCTTCTATTTGGTTTACTGTAGACAACATTTTAAATTAAAGTTTGATATTTATTATACAGTAATGTTAAGGAATTTGTTTAAGAATTGTTGGATTAAATAAGTCATATTTTTGCTAGAGTTGTTCACCCTTTGATTAGAATGAGCATGTTTCATATAAATTAGCAAGTAGAATGAAACAGTAATTTTTAAAAATTGCTATGCATATATATGTACATGTTAAGAACAATCATAGTAGCATTTTTAAAAGCTCATTTAAATTTGAGTACTTAATTGCCTATATCTTTAGATTTAGATCTCTGTTGATAAGGATAGTTTCACTGTGCCTAACAATATTACTCTGTGTGTGTGTGTGTGTTTTAAGTACTGGGAATTGAAGTCAGGGGCTCTTTTCCACTGAGCCTGAGTCATATCCCTGGCTCTTTTTATTTTTTATTTTGGGACATGGTCTCACAGTGTTGCTGAGGGTCACCTTGAACTTGCCTGGGCTGGTCTCAAACTTGAGATCCTCTTGCCTTAGCCTCAGCTTCCCAAGTCACTTGAATTATAGGCATATGCCATTTTACCCAGCAAGAAATACTATTTAAATACTGATAAGGTTAATATGTAAATGAGCTTCTACCTTTGAGTATGTGGTTCAAATTGTTTTCCTGGAACATTTTTCCTATTTAGTGAAGGAAAAAAGGTTATTTAAGAAGAGAGAAGTTATTCAAAAGGGTGGGTGAAATGATGAAACTTTGAACCCGTTTCAACTTGTAAATTGATTACCAGGTCAATTTATCAGAACATGAGTTAGTGCAAAATATATGCATGGTTGGTAGTGGCCAAAAAGAATACAGGTATGTCTTATAGGTGAGACATTACCAGAGACTTACTATCTGAATTCCTTGAAATAAATGCCATAAATTGTTAACAGTGTCAAACGGGGCAAAATGTAATTTTCTATTTTTTTAATTACTAAAATTAACAGAATATGGCACTAATTTCTGCAGTTACCATTTTCCTCCCTGAACACTAGACTTGATTTGTGTTCTTATTAACTTTGTCCTACAAATGACCTTGCAAGGAGAATGATTCTAGAGGCTAAGTGAAACAATGTCTATATTTTCTGAGGCTTCAGGCTAGGTTTTATTAATGTAATGTCTAAGATCTTTGAAGTTGTGACTTTACCAGGAAAATCATAATCTCTAAACCTTTATTCATAATGGGTATGACTTCCAGGGGGAACAGAATACCTGCTGTGCTAATTATTTCAATTATCAGCCACTACTAAAACATGTAATGGATTTTCTCTGCTTCCACAGGTAAAAAGCATGACATTACGGAACTTAACTCTGATGCTGTGAACTTGATCTCCCATGCAACACAGGAGAGATTACGAGGCCTTCTAGAAAAACTGACGACAATTGCTCAGCATCGAATGACTACTTACAAGGTAAAGGGAGTTGTTAAAGAAGTATGAACTCTTGTCTCTTCTGTAGCATGAATAAAGGGTAGTTTTGGGTCATGGATTCATACTCTACGTGTATTTTTAAAAGAATAGTTGAGCCATATATTTCATATTAGTAGAAATTCAAAGTCTTCTTAATTGGCTTTATTTAGATATGCTTGCATAACAAAAACTGGAATTTGAAATGGTGTCCAAAACTTCTATGTCGGTATAGATTGTAATATGCATCTGTTCTGCCTGAGGCTTCTCTTCCTTGAGAATTTGATTGAGAAAGAAGATATATTAGGATGAAATATTGGCGACTTTAGTTCTTTTCAGTGGTCTGGACTCTGCTAGCATTCCTATTCTTTTGAGTAAGTTTCCATTATAGCATTGAGTGCTGTTACTGGTACCACTTATTACTGTTCTTGGCTTCTTTATAAAAACTATATGCAGGAGTAGCCTATCTTGTCCCTAGTGGTGTGAACTAAATGAAATGCTGTTAACAAGATGAAAGCCCTTGATGTATTTGAAGTGTAGTTTTGGAAGTGGGCAAATATATTGGCTGATTAAGGATTTAAAAATTAAAAAGATAACCTGGAATTTAAAAAAAAAAGATAAAGAAGGAATGTTAATAGCTAGATTTGAACAGAATAATGGTACATGTGAACTTACAAGGTTTTGAGTTTGCAAAAATGGTCATTGCCATGGCATTCTAACCATGTTTTGAAAGGAATCCAGGAAAATTATCAGCTATCACACCACCCACCTATAAGTTCCTTGGAGGAATCATTCTATTTTCCTTCTTTTTTGTTTTATTTAGAACTTTAGGAAATACACATAGTTTCTGAAGTTCTTGCTTGTATAAATCTTTGAGAGAAATTATTGATCAACAAAAATATGGGACCAGCAGGACAAAAGCTGTGGAGAAATAAAATAACAGTATTTTGTGTGTGCGCGTGGGTATGTGTGTGTGTGTGTGTGTGTGTGTGTGAGAGAGAGAGAGAGAGAGAGAGAGAGAGAGAGAGAGAGAATTGATTCTAGGAATTTGTCTATTTTTTTTCTGGTTATCTAGTTTGTTGTCATGTAACTATTCATAGTATTCTCTTATAATCCTTTTTATTTCTATAAGGTCTGTGGTAATGATCCTACTTTCATTTAAGATTCTAATTATTTGTATTCTTTTTGTCAGTCTAGCTAATGGTTGGTCAATTTGATCTGTTCAAAGAACCAACTTTTGGTTTAATAAATTTTGCCTGTTTTTCTGTTCTCAATTTTATTTATCTCCACTGAAGTCTTCATTATTTCTTCTTCTAACTTGAGTTCAGTTTGCTCTTCTTTTTTTAAATTCTATAAAATATAGATTTTGGTTGTTAACTCAAGATCTTTGTTTCCTAATATAGGCATTTACTGTTATAAATTTCCCTCTGTGCACTGCTTTCACTGCGTTCTAAGTTTTGTTCTATTGTGTTTTTATTTTTATTTGCATCTAAGTTTTTTTCTTGAGACTTTTTTACCTATTGGTTAAGAGTTAAATTTCTACATACTTGTGAATTTTCCAGTTCTCTTTCTAGCTTTATTCCACTGTGGTCAGAGAAGATACTTTGTATGATTCAAACATTTAAAATTTATTGGCACTTGTTTAAACAAATGTGCAGTCTGCCTAAACAATGTTCCATATGCATTGGGTTCTGTGACACAAACCTATAATCTCAGCAACTCAGGAAACAAGGTAGGAGGATTGCAAGTTTGAGGACATCCTTGGCAGTTTAGCAAGACCCTGTCGCAAAATAAAAATAAAATGATTGGGGATGTAGCTCAGTGGTTTAGTGCCCCTTAGTTCAATCTCCAGTACTCCAAAACAAAAACAAAAACCCCAAAGGGAATGCTCCATATGTGCTTGAGCAGAATGTGTATTTTGCTTTCATTAAGTTTTGATTTGATAGTCTATTAGATGTATTTGGTTTATGGTGTTAAGTCATCTATTTTCTTATTTATCATCTGTCTAGATATTCTATCCATTTTTGAAAGCAGGGTATTAAAGTCTTTTGCTGTATTAACTCAGTGGTTTACATGTGCACAGCCTTGGGTTCAGTCAATACAAAAAAAAAAAAAGGAAGGAAGGAAAGAAAAGGAGAAAGCATGAAAAAAGTTTTGACACTGCTTCACTTGTTGACAGTGGTGTATCTTTCTTAGTCATCTTTCTGTTCTATAACAGCTACTTGTTATTTTTTACTTATTAAAAAATAAGAAAGGTTTATTTTGGCTCGAAGTTTTAGAGCTTCTTATCCATAGACAATTGACCCCATTGCTTTGGACCTGTGGTAAGGTAATATATCACAGCAGGAACATGTGCAATGGAGGAAAGATGCTGACCTCATGGCAGCTGGGAAGATAAAAAGAAAAGGAGGAGGAGCCAAGGTCCCCATATCTCCTTCCAGGGCTTACCTCCAGTAACCAAACTCAACACTAGGCTTCATCTCCTAAAAATTCTACCACGTCCCTTTGGCGCTACCAGCTGTGGACCAAGCCTGAAGTACATGGGTTTTGGGAGGACATTCAAGACCCAAGCTATTGCAATTCTGATAAATTTAACCTTTTATCAGTATATGATTTCTCATTTCTGCCTCTCTTTCTTTAAATTAAAAAATGGGGTCTTGCTTGCTGTGTTGCCCAGGCTGACCCTGAACTCCTGGACTCAAGTGATCCTCCTGTTTCAGCCCCTTAAGTAGCCTGGGCTACAGACCCACACTGCTACACCCAGTTTCTTTGTTTCTCATAATAGACTTTGACTTAATGTCTATATATCTGATATTAGCATAAATACCAATGCTTCCTTTTGGTTTTATGTGCATGGAATATCTTTTTTCATTCTTTAATTTTCACTGTATTGGCATGTGTTCACCTTAAATTCTTCTCTTGAAGACAATATCTATAAATGGGTCATGTTTTTGTTTGTGCCCCCCTATTCCTCGAAGCCCCCCAACGTCTTGACAGTCTCTGCTTTTTGACTGGGAAGTTTAATCCATTTACATTTAAAATAATTACTAAGAAAGCGCTTCTGCTATTTTGTTACTTATTTTATGTATTCCCTACTGTTTAATTGATATTTTTTTCTTGTACCATTTTGATTTTCTTTTGTGTATATTTTCTTTCTTTTGCTGGGGATCTAACCCAGGGCCTCATGCATGCCAAGTAAGTGCTGTATCACCAAGCCACATCTTCATCCATTTTTGTATATTTTCTAAGTGGTTGCCATGGAGATAAACAACACCCTAAACCTATTCAAACCTAGTTTGAATTAATATCTTTAATTTTGTAACGTGAAGAAATTATAGTCATCTTTTTGGCCCTTTACTCTTTTTAAAGTGTCTTAAACATTTTTTACAACTGAATTCTCCTTGTTCCTACCTTAATCATTTTTTTTCAGAAATACATGAGTACATCATCATTTATAGTGGAATGTTTCTGTACAGAATGTAATGTGTACAATTTAGTATGGAAGATAATTTTTCCAAGTAATGTTTACTGAGTGCCACTCAGAGCTCTAATGTGTGTAACCATCAGATAGAATTCTTCTGTTGTTTATCAATAACATATGTTTCAAGAAGTTAGCTGCCCTAGGCAAAAATGGATAGCATCTACTCCACCTGGAAGACCTCACTGACTTAGCTTAAAGCTAATACTTCCTTAACCCTGTCTTGTACACTGCCTATTCGGATTGATTTTCCCCGTGCCCACTTTTCCTCACACATTCCTTAGTACAGCTATGCCACTGTTGGAATTTGCATATGTAGAAAGACAAAGGATTGTCATTCTTCATTAAGCAGAAATAATACTCATTTAATGATACTTGAATTTAATTCAAAATCACCCTTATTTTGTAGATTTTAATTGTAATAATCTTTGCATCAAAGATTTAGCCTTGTCATTGTGTTTTAGTTCATCCCAGTTAGGATTTATTTTTATCCTTACAATGTAAGAAATTCTAGTCACTGAATATATTAAAAAGAGAGATCACCATCTCTTTCTTCTCTGAACCATTTACTTTTGATAATCTTTCACCTGGTTAGGTATAATTCTCTAATTAATCATAAACTATAAACTGATATTTGGGTAAAGAAGTAAAAAATGGCATGCATTACAAAGCTTTTGATCTTGCTGCCAGGTGTTTTCCCACTGAAGATACATTTTAGTTTTCTGTATGCCTGTGGCCATGAAGAAGTTTCATTATTTTCCGGTTGAAAGGTACTATAAGTGGTTCCTTTGGATGGGATTCACTTGATGGTGTTGATATTATTTGGGGCTACATATTTTCATTGCTAAATCATTTAATATGTAATAAGTATGTATGGTAAAGCCCTACTCTTTTGGTACACAAGTCTTCAGTTTGTGAGGCCTGCTGAGATAAAGGAACATAGTAAAATTGGGGTTAATGCTGTTTAGAAAGGGTTAGGGACTCAGTGGGAACAGGACAGGCACTCCTTTGTTTAGCAGTATCTGGAAGAGAAAAGGAAGAATGTATGATGCCAGAGGCAGTTGGGAGAAAAAAGAAATAAAATGGGAATGTGATAGGGTTAAAATTTAAAAAGTCTGCACCCTTTTTAATTTAGTGTTTGTTGTCCTTTTTACATTAAATCCTGTCAGTAAACTATCTCCAGAGTGTCTGAACACAAAAATGGTAAAGATGAAGTATTTGAGAAACCACTGTTATTATGTTTAACCTCTATAGTTGGCCTATAATGTGTTCCATATTCTATCTTGTATTGTTTAACTTTAAAAAACATTTGGGAATTCTTTGTGTATTAAGCATGAAGTAAAATAAGTAGCACTAATACATCCTTGTTCCTTAAACTATGTAATACTCTTTTGATCTGGTTAAATACCAACAATAAAAATTTAATTTAAAAAGAATCTTGGGCATATGAAATCTCTCATTCCCAGTTAATTGAATCAGCCATAAGCTTGGGGATAAAGCAAAGGTGGGAGTGGTGCTGTACACTGATTTCCAGGCCAGGCACTGACTGTTGAACTTAACATTCAGTTTTTCTGCTATATAGTTGCCTTCAGATGTCTGAAATACTGAGATGAATATATGGTAGGGTGAGTTTAATATTGATTGGGAAGCCCACACAATGAACATGCCCATAAACTATTCAGGAGGCTAAGGCAGGACGATTAAAAGTTTGAGACCAGTCTGAGTAGCTTGGAGAAACCCTGTCTCCAAGTAAATAATAAATTTAAAAAGAAATGACTGGGGATGCAACTTAGTGGTAAAGTGCTTGCCCAACAAGTGCAAAACCTTGGATTCTATTCCCAGTTCAGCAAAAAAACGAGGGGGAAGAAATCAAGAATATCCCCGTGCTCTTCCCCACCCTATCATTGCTGCCCATCAAACCACACATGGGTGGACAGAGGACAGATAGGGACAGATAGGTACTCATAGGCTAAGAAAATATTTAGACCGAAAAGCAGTGATTTACACTTTAGCATATCAGATTTTACCATCTTTATGGAAAAATTAAGACAGTTATACTTCTGTGTGACTCTCACAGATTATACAGTTACTTTCTTTGACTACAGTTCTATCTAAATTCATACCTTAATGGGATTCTCAAAACAGGGTTTTGGGATTTTAATATTTGTCAGCTTGTCTTAAGTTGTATTTTGATAGAAGTTGTATTCAGTTATTAAGGTTAGACTAACCCAACCATAGTAACCAGAGTGATAACTTTCGTCTTTGGTTTATTTTTCAGTGAGGTGATTGTTTCTTGCTTTTTGTCTTCGTAGGCCTAAGATTTAATTACTTATGTTAAGGTCTGCTAAGATCAACAATAATTTAACTAAAAAGTTTTAAATTATAGGTAAATGGTATACTCTCTTGCATTTTTCTTCTTGTGGTTGGCTTAATTGTTTACCCCAGCTCCCAATGAGGTTTAATAGAAAAATCTCTTTGAAATGTAAATGTTAGATCATCTCTCATATTTTAAGGATGATTAAGGTTCCTGGTTTTTATTTGTTTATTTTGTTAAGTTTGCTTATCAGAAACAAAAATAATACCTGAAAATTTGGCTTCTTCTATGTGTTGATGTTATTGTCTTTAGTTAAATTATAATGATATCTAATGTACAGTGCATTGCCCAGGATCATCATACAAACTTTTTTTTTTCCAGGCAAGTGAAAATTATATCCTGTCTAGTGATACTCGGTCACAGCTCAAATTCCTTGAAAAGCTGGATCAATTGGAGAAACAGAGAAAAGATTTAGAAGAAAGAGAAATGTTACTTAAGGCAGCCAAGGTAATAGCCTACATGATTTATGAGTGAATGCGGCCTGGCAGTGAGGTCAGAATTGGCTTTATCATTGGTTGGCTGTCTTCGTTTTATTAAGCTTTTAGATTTCTCTGGAGGATTTCTTAAAATGAAATTAGTAATAGTATGTCTCACAGCCAGGATAGTGTGGTACAGTGACTTTAGTTAATTTAGTTCAATGAGTCATAATCTTTTGTCTCTTCACTTTCATTTCCTAGGAGTTAGGCATCATACCTACCCACCCACCCCACCTCCCAGGTAAAAATGTTTTGTAAAATTTTAGCATAAGAATTGATATGTGCCAAGTTACAGTTCAGGAAAAAAAAATGGAAAGTAGACAGAAACATTGTGGATAAAATTAGGAATAATTTGGATTACATGGACTGAAATATAAGATGGGTGGAAATGAGAGAGGAATAGAGAACAAATAAATGAGACTATATACTCATTTATTTCCTTTCTCCTTTATTGAAACGTTTCCACAACTGTTAATGCCAAACGGAGTAAAAGCTTAATTAGGCTAGAGTTTGCATTATGTAATTCCATGCTTAGGGTCATTGTAGGAAGGATTAAATGTGCTGAGCATTAGAGTCTTTTTTTCTTTTTTTTTTTTGGAAGCACCTTAGTTTTGATTTCTAGTTTTCTTAGAAGCTTCTCCTTTTAGAATATTTGTTCCTAATTATGTACTAATTGCTTTAAATATATATATATATATTTTAGATGTTGATGGACCTTTATCTTATTCATTTATTTATCTGCGGTACGGAGAGTCCAATCCAGTACCTCATACGTACTAGGGGCAAGCACTTTATCACTGAGCCACAATCCCAGCCCCCCAATTGTTTTTTAATTTGTTTTTGTTTTTGTGATACTGGGGATTTAACCCAGGAGTGCTAGATCTTAACTTGTGACCCTCCACCTGCTTCAGCCTACCAAGACACTGGGATTACAGGTGTGTGCCACCATGCCTAGGGTACTGATTACTTTTTTGAGAACTAATTTCATATCTATAGAAAAGTTGAGCAGAATTGTATTCTCAGCCCCCTTTCCCATGTTTTTCCATTTAATATTTTACTGTATTTGCTTCATCTCTACTCTTCTCCACCATTTCTAAATACACACACACACACACACACACACACAAACTTTCATTAGTTTACCCATATGTCTGTCTTCCCTCCTTCATTTCTCGATTTAGAACTTTTAAAGTATATTCAGAGTTGTATAACTACTGGCACTAAGTAATTGTTTTCTGAACCATTTGAAAGTAGTCTTTAGACACTCTAAACATTCTAGTATGTATTTGCAAAAATAAGGACAGTCTCCTTTGTAAACCTCCAGGCCCAGGAACTCAGCAGTGTAACACTGTCATCAATTGCATAGACCCTTGACTTAATTTCACCAGCTGTCTCCCCTGTATCTTTATTTTTCCTTCATGTTCCATTTTCCATTCAGGAACATGTATTGCATTTTGTTGTTATCTCTTTTCATATTCGTTCAGTTAGTGTTGGTCTTTCATCTTTATTCATGTCTTTGACAATTTTCAACAATATAGACCTTACTTTCTGAATACAGGATGAGCCTCAACCTGGATTCATCTGGTATTTCTTTATGACCAGAGTCATGCATTCTTGGCAGGAATGCACAGAAATGATGCTACATTCTTCTTGGCTGACTGTATCAAAAGACAGCCTTGATCACCTGTTCATGCAGGTGCCTTCCAGTTCCCTTCATTTTAAATTGACCAATTCCCTCTTTGTAGGTGCCTCAACTCCGCACAAGGATGTGAGCACAATAGCCCTATCTCTGTGCAGTTTCTGCTGTCTCAGCCTCAGCCCCAGTGCTGACCTCTGCCCTGGGACAGGCAGGAAAGTAGGACAGGATGTTCTTCCTTGAGCCCACAAATATCTTCATAGGAAGATATTTAAGATGATATCAACATTCCATTCCTCAAAAATCTTCCATGTATCAGCCTTAGTGTTCATTGTGATATCTGCCTGAATTAGCCCTCTCTGTGATGGTTGCCAAATGCTAATTCTTTATTTCTGTTAGCTTACCTACATTTATTAGTACTCTACTATATAAAAGAGTTCTTTTCTACCTTAGTCATATCAGTATGGGATTATGATTTTCTGTGTCATTCAACCAGTTGTAATCCATTACTGTCTTTTTTTTTTTTTTTTTTTGTACTAGGGATTGAACCCACTGCTGCTAAATTACTGAGCCACATCCCCAACCCTTTTTATTTTTTGAGATAGGGTCTCACTGAGTTGCTGAGGGTCTTGCTAAGTTCCTTAAGGCCTTGCTAAGTTGCTGAGGCTGACCTCAAACTTGGGATCCTACTGCCTCTGCATCCCAAGCCCCTAGGATTAGAGGCATGTGCCACCGAGCCTAACACTATCATTATTTTGATATTTAAAAATTGCTTGAGTGGGAGACTCTTTCAGAGTAGCACTTTGGTCCTTTATCATATGTCTATCACTCACTGAGCATGTCCTTACTTTCTGGCTCAAGCTATTACAGGCCCAGCCTTTACTATTCCTGCCCCAGCCCTGGAATGAACTATTTCTGTAAGGAATCCTGTTTCTTTTTAGTTGAAGATAATGGTCAGAAACCACTATTAGATATATAATATTGTCATTGCTTAACAGAGTGTCAGGCCCTCTCAGTGAACAAATCTAGGAATTTGTAGTATGTGTATATATGTAACCAACCATACATTCATAATTGTTCCTATATCTGTGTGTGTATATAATACAATCATGAGTTCAGATGGATTCCTCCAACTGTAATCTAGTACCTCAGGGTTCTTTCTACCCTACCTTTTCCATGTTTGTAAAAACTCTCTCCAGTAGTCAGAAACTTGGCTTTTATCACCTTTAATATGTTTAATGTATGTCCTGAATCAATTTAGCTCTCAACTGATCAGTCTTTCAATGTAATTAATGTGACTAATATCTCAACTAGCCATGTTGCTGTCATCTCTGTTACTAGTAATTCTCCCAACCCCATTTCATCGTCCATTCGATTAATCACCACACCCATTGACCCATGCTTCAATGAAGTGCCCCAGACTTTTACCAACCTGTATTCTCAGCTACTTGCCCATACCTTGGTAAGGTGCCTCAGCCCCGCACAAGGATGTGGGCACAATAGCCCTATCTCTTTGCAGTTTCTACTGTGTCAGCCTCAGCCCCAGCCCCAGTGCTGACCCCTGCCCTGGGACAGGCAGGGAAATAGGACAGGATGTTCTTCCTTGAGCCCACAAGTGCTATAAGCAAGCACTCAGCCATTGTAATGAGGTGGTTTATTGGTGCTTTATTTCCAGTTAAAGTGCTGTAAACAAGGTCATAAACTATTAAATACTAGTCTAGTAGTTATTATTGGATAAAAATTATGATACTTTCTCTTGGTCTATTGGCTTTTCCGTTTTTCACCAGACAGACTTCTAATGCCCCAGATTTCAGTCCCTCCCTCTTAATTCTCTCCTAAGATTAATTCCAATTCAGTATACATCCTGAAATTCTGGGCTTCTATAGCTAATTGCCTGCTTCATATTGCTTCAGTGACTAATAGGTGTCTCAAATTTATTATGTCCAAAAAGACTCTGATTTTTCCCATCCCTCTTGCAGCTTTTCTTAATTCAGTAGATGACAGCCATCATTTGCCAGATGTTCAAGCCAAAAATCCTAGGAGTCATCTTTAGCTTCTTTCTTTCTCCTCTTCCCACATTCAGTTCACTTCCTGTTCATTCCCAAAATGTGTCCATGGTGATGTTTTTATCACCACCGTCACCACTGTAGCCTAAACATCTTTTATTTGGACTTTTATAATACCTCCTAACTGATCTCCATTCCCTTCTACAATCCCTACATCATACTATTGTGAGAATAATATTTTCATCACAAAAACAAAAATCTTTTATTGGCTTCTGCCGCAGTCCGGCTGCAGCAAAGTAAGGGGGGGGGGTGACGAGGAACTTGTGCAGATTGATACAGCAGGAGTGGGAGCTGTTTATTGTAGGACCGGAGCGGTATATATACATTCCACACAGCTTTAAGGAATCTCCACACTTAATGGCTCGCTGGCATTACTTCACAGGCTTCTATTGCATTAAAAATAAAATCCAAACTTTTTACCAAATTTGATAAGGCCTCACATCATCTTGCCCATACCTCCCTCTTGCCTCAGATTGCTCCTCTCACTCACTCCACTCTGACCTTATTCCTGCCTCTTTTGCTCCCGGGGATTGAACCCAGGGGTGTTTAATGCAAAGCTAGATCTCAGCCCTTTTTGTAATTTTTGAGAGGATCTCAATACCTGCAAAGGCTGATCTAGAATTTGTGATCCTCCTGCCTCAGCTTCTTGAGTAGCTGGAAATGTGCTACCACCCCTGGAGGTCTCACTGACCTTTTTGTTCCTTGAGTATGCCAAGCTTGTGTCTGCCAGCGTTTCTAATTAGGCATCTAAAACTGAACGTTGGGTTCTTTCCCCCGAAATCTGCTCTTTGTTAGATCTTTGGCTTCTCAGAAAGTTGAAATTACCATCCTTTCTTATTGCTTAGGCAAGGGTCCTGGGAGTCATCCTTGTTTCCTCTCTTTATTTTATTTTCTATATTCAGCCCATCAACAGCCTGTTTGGCTTTACCTGCAAAATGTGTTTCCAGTCTAATCATTGTCTTCTTTGCTGTGATGCTAGTTCAGTCTGCATTCATTTTTCTCTCACTCAGTCTCTTACTCACAACAGTTGCTTTGGAATGGTCTTCTTATTGCACTGGGTGCCAGTTCTTTAGTCTTGAATCCCTGCAGCGCCCCCTCTACATAGCTGCAGAAGACCCCTTTTGAAAGGCACCTTAGGGACGACTCCTCTGTGCTTTAAACCCTCCAGTGGCTTGTTCTTATAACTGGAATTAACTCCCTTACAAGGCAACACATGATCTTCAACCTTTCTTCCCTTTAAATTTTCTATTTCAAACATAGGGGCTTTCTCTCTGTATTCAGTTATACCCAAGTTTGTTTCCATTATAAGGCTTTAGTATTTGCTGTGCTGTCTGCTTGGAATGTCCTTCCCCCAGATCTTTACATGGCTGCTTCTTTTTTCTCATTCAGACATCTACTCAAATATCACTCCTCAGAGATAACTTCCCTATCAACTAAAGAGGTACTCACCAGTCTTGTCTGTTCTATCACATCATTCTATTTATTTTCTTTATAGCATTTATCAGTATCAGCATTTTTTTGTATTTTTACTCATCTAAAATTTTACATATCATACATATCAAGTGTAGAACAGTGATCCATAGTGTAATATTTATACTGTGAATAACCAATAAATGGTGGATGACTAACAAAGATGTACTACCCAAATGTGCCCATTATGCTGGAGCAAACAATCATATACACACATGTACATGCATATTTATCTATAAACATGTACACATTTTCATTCTCTCAATATTATAGATAGAATAACAAAAGAGTCCCAGACAAAGTTGTTTTAGTAGGTTGGGAATTAAAATGGAGAAAAAAAATGCATGCTTTAGGTACAATTTAGTATAGGTAGTTAAGTGTTTGAAATTAAAAGCCATGCTGAAGCCTCTTGTGCTTTTTTTTTAGCTTGTTAGCTGTCTTTAGTTAGTGAAGATTGAATTTTATAGAGAAAATACTCAGATTTATAGGAGTTAAGTAACTGTTAGGATGAATAAAAAGGTCCACCTATCCCAAGCATCTTTTCTTGTGAATATATATTTATGATATCAGAAATGAGGTTTATTACGTTTTGTTTTATGATTAAATTATGTATAGCTAATAGCTTGTTTTCTTATGCCAATCTTATGAAAAGTGGTAGTCAGTAAACATTTATGAACATTTACTTGTGCCTGACATTCTAATATATGTTATAGAGAAGATATTTTAATGAAAACGTTAAAATGTATTTCCTCCTTTTTAAAATTATGCTTTTAAAAGAGAGATTTGTTTCAAGGTGACTGAAGTTCTTGATTTTCATGGTTCATGAAATAGCATGTTTTCCAAAACTGCCTTTACCTGAAGATGAGCCCAATGTTGATTGTTTTCATTCTTTTGCACCAACAGTTCTTCTTTTCTTTTTCTTCATGTGTACCATCCATTTTTTAGTTTCCAGTGTTTCAACAAGAACGTCATGCCTCAACTGGACCTGACTGACATTGTTAGCATCATTTCAGTATAAGCTTCCTCCAGGCTAGAATGCAGCAGCCGGCCCAGATGATGAAGGGGGAGTAAGGGCGGGAGTGCAGCTAGACTGGATTGAGGCATTGCCCCTGGAGCTAGGATTTTCAATCACAAGTGAAATTGTCGTTTATTAAATATTTAACTGCGACTATGGTGTTTAGATGCTCGTAATTTCTATTAAAATTTTCTTTTCCTTTGATAGAGTCGTTCCAATAAAGAAGATCCAGAACAGCTGAGATTAAAGCAGAAAGCCAAAGAGGTAGGACTTTCAAGTCACCATGCTTGCCTTTGTGTTTGAGGGAAGGTTGGCAGCTCTCTCCTGGCAATTAGGTCAGGGTTTATTTTGCTGTTGCATACCATTTGCAGAAGCCTTGGGGAAGGACGGGAACTGCTGAAGGCAAGGGCAGTACTTCAAATGAGGTCAATGAGTTATGTGCTGTCTTTTTAAAATTTACTTTCAAGGCTTAGGCCTGTCTAGAAATGACTCTTTGTAAACTTCAGCAGTGTACTTGGAGGAGTATAGTGTGGGATTAAAAAAAAAAGAAGAAGAAACTTTTGAGATTTAGCATCTGGGACTGTACAATAGGCTACATTTTTCCAGGGTAATTGTTCGTTTTGTAAATCTGATACTGCTTATAATTCTTTGGCTGGGAGGCGGTACTGGGATTTAGTTTTAAATGGAAAATGCCTCTGGCTTTTAATTTTCTGGGCCCAGCAGTTTTCTGTTCTGGAATGGAGCCCTTGTTTCACACAGTTCATGTTTAGCTGCAGGGGTTTTAGTTTATAGCTTAGACTGGTTAAGCTTTTACTCCCAGAGGCCTCTGCATAGCAACTGTAGAAATCAACAAATAAGTTCATTTATGTCTGCAGCCTCCTCTCAGTAGCTGACTTTTTACATTTCCCAATATCCATTTCCTGACTTTTCTAGCCCCAGAGAAAAAAGCTCCACTAATTGGAGCTTATTTTAATTGAGCCTTAATATTGGATCTCACTGGAGTTGCCCCCAGAGCTGCTGAGAACAGAATGAAATGAAAGTACCTAAGGTTGAAGATGTGGTGTGTGTATGATTATGTGTGTGTGTGTGTGTGCGCACACGCACGAGTGTGTGCATGCGTGAAAATTTTCACTTGACCTACAGATTCTTTTCACTCCTGAATAAATCATCAAGCCTGTTCACATTTCTGATTAAGGATCTGACAGCAGACGATAATAAAGACAATTGAGGTGTGAGACGTGTGATATGGAGCTGAAGAAATTGGTTTCTATAGTTACTTGACTGATTTCATGCAATTTTTAAGGATCTTTGTGCTAAATAAGAGTGATTTCCTGAGCAACCTTTTTTCCTTAACTGTGCCTCTTGAACTATGAAATTTGTTGTTGCTTAACATTGCTGCACTTGGCTCCTAGGTACCAGCAGCAGCAGGTTATTTATGAATGTTTTAAAGGCCCTTATTGTTTGGATTAATGTAGGAGCTGAGGCAAAACAAATGGAAATCTAGTAAGATTCTTTTTTTTTTTTTTTTTTAATTTTAATATTTTATTATTTTTTTTTTTATTTCTCGGCGGACACAACATCTTTGTTTGTATGTGGTGCTGAGAATCGAACCCGGGCCGCACGCATGCCAGGCGAGCGCGCTACCGCTTGAGCCACATCCCCAGCCCCCTAGTAAGATTCTTACAATCAGTGTGTTGTATTTTCATTAACATACAGAAGGGAAATACATGAACTCTGGGTAGAGAGGTATCAGGGTTGGGACAAGGAATGCCAGAAAGGGAAAACATTAAAAGGAGTTGAAACCATTTTATTTTCAACTCAATATTTCTTGTACTAAATTCTTTTCAGTGGAAAATTTATCTAAAAATGTTAATTTGAGAAATGTACTTGTCTCTTTCATTAAGCAAACCTGGCTTGTTGATAGATTAGTCGGGGATATAAAACCCCATCTTGCTCTTTGTTTTAATTAAGGGCTGCCTGGATACCTACCTCACTTTCTCCTACTTGTATTCCCTTTTTAGAAAACATGTTTCTGAAAGCTTACCCTTTTAACCTTAAAGATCTCACCCTTTCTGTTCCTCCTTCATAAACATCTGAATCTTAGGTCAGTTTTTCCTTTGGTGTTGTTTAAATTTTTTTTTTTTTTTGAGTGTGTTGTTTGTTGGATTTTTTTTAAGTATTCTGTTTAATTATTCCCTGAGGCATGAATTGGTAGACAGAATTTTTCAAAGAATATTCAGAGAGACAAACAAAACAAAACCCCACTGCCTTTCTTACTGAGAACAGGTAGTAGCAAACCTGTTTATTTTCTTTCCCTTTGCACCTCCACTTTCTTTCAAGCAACATTAAAAGAACTAAATATAATTTCTTTCCAGAGTATCTTGAAAGTTTTCTATTTGCTTCCTGCTGTAAATCCTCTTTGATCAAAAAGGTAATCAAATACATGGCTTTGGTCCAAGAACAGAGCCACTCTGTATTAGTTGCAAATGTTCGAAAGTTAAATATTGTCATTTTTGTCATCTTCCTGTCCCCAAAGCTGTTAGTAACTTTAAGGTTCAAAGGACTCCCCTTCAAAATCAGTTACACAAAGGTACCATATTTTATTTGGTTGCATATTGTCCCTACCTTAATATGGAGTTGAATTGTTCTCTTGTGTGGTAATGTGTAAGGTTATGCACTAACCACTATCACCTTGATGTAAACTATAATACTTTGGTTTGTTATTCTTTCCCATTTGACTCTCTGGACAGTTGTCTTCATTGAGTTGTAAAGATTAGCATGGATTTCTTGATGGTGATTAATTTAGAGCTGCTTTGCTTTCCCTTTTTAGGTAATTGGTAATTCCTTCCTATCAAGCTCATCAGAGGAAACAGATTAATGCCAGTATAGAATAAATGAAGAACTCTGAAGAACTGTTTAGAGAAGTTGTAGGCTTTATTTATGCTAGAAACGTTTCAGCAGTGATATTTATCATATAAATATTAAATCATAACCTGAACCACCTTCATAATCTGTGTTTGCTTTCAGCCGTTGAGGATGAGGTTTGCTCTTGATCCTTTCTCTTGATATTATTCTTTTCTCTAATATGATTTTAAAGGCTATTAAATTCTTATGCGGATGAATTGTGTTAAATTGGGTAGGTTTTAAATTTTTTCAATTCTTCCTGTTGATATGTTTCAATTTTGTCATTCTCGTTAGGTACTTTAATAAAAGATAGGCTATCTCTGGGTTTTCTTGCTCTCAATTCATTGAAGTGGCTCCTGCAGTATACTGTTCTTATGGACCTGATGGGTTATCTAATTGAAAACCTTGTTGTCTGGTAAAATGTCTGTGAATATCCTTGTCATGCAAATATTTCATTTTAAATATAGGTGCTTATCTTTTCACTAGTCTTTTTTGCTTCAGTTAAAGAAAAAAATAGATTCTTTATGTCTTATAACTTTAAATTTTTAATACTAACACTTTCAGAATTTCCATTTGCAGGGGGATTGTCCTAGATACCTTACCTAAAATGTAAGGTAGTCTTCCATTTCACCATTATGACAAGTTTTAAATAGATTACTAATTGCTAAATTCTAATTTCAAACAAGCAAGCACATCTTTGTTTAATACAGCTGCAGACTTGTCCGAAATGTGTGGTGTATGTCCTAGATTAACATCTAGCCCTCAGTGTTTTCTTTTCTTACCACATCATCCAAAATTCTGCAGAGCAAGCCATCTGACCTTGCAGTTCAAAAATCCTGATTTCTTAAAACATTTGTTATATATTTTGTGGCCCTCATTTCCTTTTAAATTTCTTCTTCTCCTTTGGGAAATATGAGTTCAGTGCATCTGTGCAGAGTGAGACAAAGAATTCCTTTATTTCTTTTTAACAATTCCTAGCATTCCCACTTTCATTTTTTTTTTTTTTTTTTTTTTTTTTTTTTTTTTTAGCATTATATTTTATTTTAAATACAAAATCATATAAAATATTTCAGTTAAAAACTACCCAGGAAAGTACAAAATAACTTAATAATTGGTTTTATATATTTTGGTTTGGTCAAGAAGCTATTACAGGCAAGTGGAAGGTTCCTATTAAACACTTATAATAGTACTTCCTGCTCCAAACAGTTCTGAGAAGAAAATCTATAATTCTGAAGACTGTTTTATACCCTGCTCTTCAAGAGACATACTTGAAACCATTTGAAGAACTATTCATACTGGTTTGACAGTGCTTCAACCTCAGAATTTTGTGAAGAAATCACATGTAAAAGTATCACCTCTAGGGGGCTAGGGTTGTGGCTCAGTGGTAGAGTGCTTGCCTAGCCCATGTGAGGCACTGGGTTCCTCAGCCCCACATTAAAATAAAATAAAGCTATTGTGTCCACTTACAACTAAAAAATAAATACTTTTTTTTTAAGTATCACCTTTTTTTTTTTTTTAAGAATCCTTCAAAACAGTGGTTTTCAAATTTTGGCACTCATCAGGATTTCCTGGGGGAACCTTGTTAATGTAACTTCATTAAAATAAAACCTTAAGTCTATTAAGCATTCTACTTAAACAGAACAGATCATAACTTATTCACCTTGACTCACAATTATTCCCATGAGTTCAAAAGATAGAACCACAGGATAGTCCAAAAAGCTGGATAGTCTATGTCTACATGAAAACATTTATTTATGAAATACATAACAACTGTTAGCCTACAGAGACCTATAGAAAATCCAACAAGAAATCATGAGTATTGTACTCAAAATGAGAACATAATCTTTCTTAAATATACACATAAACCTACTGAATTTTTATATTCAAGATTCAGGAACTTCTTCATCAGGGCAACAGTAATATTCTACAAAACATATTTGTCCATCTTCATTTCTAATCATGTACTGTAATGAGAGGAATCCCCGGTTATCTGTCCGAATAGATACCTTACAAGATAAAACTAATGCCTTGGTAGAGGGTTTCAGTAAAGAAATCTTGTATCTGTTAACCTGGGTCTGATTACAATGAAATGCTTCCATCAAATCAGAATCTTTGGGATAATCAAGGTGGGAGCTTCCTGCATTTCCAAAAGTAGATAACCTGAAATATGGCTTATCAGGAGACATGGTGATTTGGAGGACCTCACTTGTCATATCCAATTCAGAAAATGCTTCACGGAGCCCTTCTGACTGCAGAATAATTTTATTAATAACATTGGTGCTACAGAAATCAAAATCAAGAGTCTCCTCGGGCTCCTGAGTATTGATTTTGCAGACCGTTACCACTCCTCCCTCTTCCAGAAATAACATCAAAGGGTGACCATAGCCTTGGTAACACATTCGAAGTGCAGTTAAAGTCCCTGAATAAAAGCATTTGCTTGCACACACTTTGCATTTTCCACTGTAACCTTGATTCCATTTTTAGTAGCGAAACATGTGGCAAAGTCTTTGAAATGAATAGCTTTCAAGATAGTAGAGAGATTCCTGACGTTGTCAAGGCTGGCCACTAAGCTGTTCTCATTCTCATCTTGGATCTGTTGGGTTAGGAGGGGCATGGTCCACTGCTCTTTCGGCCCCGAGGGTAAGCTCTTGATGTTGGGGCCGACACTGCACCCGAGGATCAGGAAACGCCTTTGCGGTAGGTCAGGGGCCTGAGAGCTCTTCCCAGCCAGGAAACCACGAAGGAAGAAAAGGGAATCCCGCCACTCTTCAGATCCGCTTGACACCTCGGCCACCGTCACCACAGAGCTGCCCACTTTCATTTTTTAATCAGGCAGTAGAGGGGAGAAAAAGGAATACAAGCCATATACCTACTGGCACATTGGCTTTGCAGAGCAACCTGTAGGAACTGGGCAAAAGAATAAGCATTGAATGATTGAAATACATAGGAGATTAGGAAACAAGTGCTGTGAAGACTTTTTAAAATTTTTTGTTTAAGGAAATCATAGGATATAAAAAAACTACAACTTTCCATAAAGCAATATAAATTGTGTAAGAAATGACATACTGAATTATAAGGCTCATTACTAATTAAAACATATATTGTTTAGTTTGAGAGAGGGAAGGTTATTTTCAGGATGAAATTTGAAAAGAGAGTCCGTGAAATGTAATAGTTAAGCTAACCATTAACATAGCAATTGTATTTAAACAATGTTGCTTCTGCATGGGCCAAAATTCATGGAACATTGGATGGGGCAAAAGCAAATTTGTCATTAAGAGTACATTCTAGCCAGGTATGGTGGCACATCCTAGAAACTTAGGATGCTGAGGCAGGAGGGTCACAAGCTTGAGACCAGGCTGGGCAATTTGGCAAGATTCTGCCTCAGAATAAAACTTGAAAAAGGACCGAGGGAGGATGTAGCTCAGAGTTAGAATACCCCTGGGTTCAATCTCCATTATGGAAGAAAAAAATAAGTACATTCTTATTTTTTCTCATGATCAAATTGTGGCAGAATGGAGAAGATATTCTTTAAAAAAATTTTTTTTAGTTGTTGATGGACTTTTATTTTTATGTGTACTTAGGATCGAACTCAGCGTCTCACACATGCTAGGCAGGTACTCTACCACTGTGCTACAACCCCAGACCAAGAAGATAAACTTAAAATGACAAGTTATAAAGAGCTCTTGTATGACATATCTGAGAAACAACAATTAACGCATTAGTAATCTAGGACAGTGATTCTCAAACTTTAATGTGCATGAACATTATCTGGAGGGCATGTAAAAATACAGATTGCTATGCCCCACACCCAGGGTAAGGCCCGAAAATTTGTGTTTCCGGCATATTCCCAGATGCTGGTCTTATTGCCATTGTTTTTCTACAGATCATATAGAACCATTTGTCTAGGAGGAGATAAAAGGAGGCTTTAATTTTTATTTATTTTCCCTTTAAGTGGTCAGTGAAGGTTAAACAAAATGCTGTGATTTGGGAATCTGAGATTTAGCATGTTGACCTGGAAGACTTCAGTTACTATCCAGAAGATTTTCTCCCAGAACCATGAAGGCTACACAAGATTTTTTTTTTCATGTATATTTTCACAAGAGATGTGTATCTTAACTTTTAGATTAAGAATGTGTGTGAGTCTAAAGAGACATATCACTGTCCCAGGGTAGAAGAGGTACATATTATAGAAAAAAAAAAGCAATGAATTTAGATAAGGAGTCTTGGATTTCTATTCATTCTGCCATTATCTAGATCTCATTTTGGGGAAGTTATTTTCCTCTTTGAATTTACCTTATTCATTTGTTTTTGTGGTTTGGGGTTTTTTTCTTTTTGGGGTGGGTATTTAAAACAAATGTAACAATATTTGCTCTGCTTGTGAAACAAGGACGTCATAATTTAGCATGAGAAAAAAATCAGCATCTTAAAAACATTAGCCATGGGAACACTTCAGGTAGGTGGTCTGCAAAGCTCTTTAGAGATAGTTTGAGATTGACAATGATATTTTTGTTTCCCATATTTTATTGGTGCATTATAATGATGTATGATGCTTGGGATTCATTGTTACATTTTCATACCTGCATATGATATAACAATATAATTTGTCCAATATAATTTCCTAGTATTTCCCATTTCCCTTCTTTCTTAACCTTCCCGTGGGTCCCTTTCCTCTGTTCTATTCCCTTTGTTTTTTATGAGATTCCCCCCTACCCACCCACCCAACAATTTCTTTTCCTCTTGCTCTTTAGCTTCCATATATAAGAGAAAAAGAACCCTTGGCTTCCTGACTCTGGCCAATATCAAGTTCCATCCATTTTCCTGCAAATGACATAATTTTGTTCTTTATGGCTGAATAGAACTCCATTGTGTATACATATTACATTTTTTTTTAATCTCAGCATGGATATTTTAAGTTGGTTTCCTTCCAGATTACTCACAAGAAATTAAGAAGAAGAAGAAGAAGAAGAAGAAGAAGAAAAAAAAAAAAGAGTGTAAGGACGAGAATTGGGTGGAAATCAAAGTCTTATACTTTATGTTAAATTAGAATAATTATAAATAATAACTATTTTGTCTTTATATAAACTTACTTTCTTGCCTTTTTTTTTTTGTACTGGGAATCAACCCAGGGACACTTAACCACTGAGACCTTTTTATATTTTACTTTTATATTAAAATTTTACTTTTATATTTTACTTAGATGACAGGGTCTCACTAAGTTGCGGAGGCTGACCTCAAACTTGAAATTATCATGTCTCAACCTCCCACGCCACTGGGATTATTGGCATGCACCACTGCACCTGGCTATATGTACTAACTTTAAAAAAAAATTATTTATATATGACAGCGGAATGCATTACAATTCTTATTACATGCATACAGCACAATTTTTCATATGCCCGGTTGTATATAAAGTATGTTGACAACAATTTGTGTCTTCATCCATTTACCTGAAAATGCCATGATTTTGTTCTCTTTTATTGCTGAGTAAAATTACATTGTGTTTCTATGCCACAGTTTTTTTTATTCATTCATCCACTGAAGGGCATCTAGGTTGGCTCCACAGTTTAGCTATTGTGAATTGTGCGGCTGTAAACATTGATGTGGCTGTGTCCCTGTAGTATGCTGTTTTTAAGTCTTTTGGGTATAGACCAAGGAGAGGGATAGCTGGGTCAAATGGTGGTTCCATTCCCAGATTTTCAAGGAATCTCCATACTGCTTTCCATATTGGCTGTACCAATAATTTGTCCAATATAATTGGACAAATTATATACTGCAGTGTATAATTTGTATAATCATACACTGCAGTCCCACCATCAGCGTACCTTTTCCCCCACATCTTTGCCAACATTGTTATTGTTTGTCTTCATAATAGCTGCCATTCTGACTGGAGTGAGATGATATCTTAGAGTAGTTTTGACTTGCATTTCTCTAATTGCTAGAGATGATGAACATTTTTTCACATATTTGTTGATTGATTGTATATCCTCTTCTGAGAAGTGTCTGTTCAGGTCCTTAGCCTATTTGTCGATTGGATTATTTGTTGTTGTTGTTTGTTTTTTTGGTGCTTAGCTTTTTGAGTTCTTTATATACCCTAGAGATTAGTGCTCTACCTGATGTGTGAGGGGTAAAAATTTGCTCCCAGGATATAAGCTCTTTGTTCACTTCACAGATTGTTTCTTTTGCTGAGAAGAAACTTTTTAGTTTGATTCCATCTCATTTATTGATTCTTGGTTTTAATTCTTGCACTATAGGAGTCTAATTAAGGAAATTGGGGCCTAATCCCACATGATGAAGATTAGGGCCTACTTTTTCTTCTATTAGATGCAGGGTCTCTGGTTGTATTCCTAAGTCTTTGATCCACTTTGATTGAGTTTTGTGCATGGTGAGAGACAGGGGTTTAATTTCATTTTGTTGCATATGGATTTCCAGTTTTCCCAGCACCATTTGTTGAAGAGGCTATCTTTTCTCCAATGCATGTTCTTGGCACCTTTATCTAATATAAGATAATTGTAGTTTTGTGAGTTAGTCTCTGTGTCCTCTATTCTTTACCATTGGTCTACCAGTCTGTTTTGGTGCCAATACCATGTTGTTTTTGTGACTATTGCTTTGTGGTATGGTTTAAGGTCTGGTATAGAGATTTCACCTGCTTCACTCTTCCTGCTAATGATTGCTTTAGCTATTCTGGGTCTCATATTTTTCCAGATGAATTTCATGACTGCTTTTTCTATTTTTATGAAGAATGGCTTTGGAATTTTGATCAGAATTGCATTAAATCTGTATAATGCTTTTGGAAGTATGGGCATTTTGATAATACTAATTCTGCCTATCTAAGAGCAAGGTAGAGCTTTCCATCTTCTAAGGTCTTCTTTGATTTCTTTCTTTAGGCTTGTGTAATTTTCATTATGTAGATCTTTCACTTCTTTTGTTAAGTTGATTCCCAGGTATTTTATTTTATTTTTTGAGGCTATTGAAAATGAAGTAGTTTTCCTCATTTTTCTTTCTGAGGATTTGTCACTGATATACAGAAATGCCTTTGATTTATGGGTGTTGATTTTTATATCCTGCTACTTTGCTGAATTCATTTACTAGTTCTAGAAGTTTTCTGGTGGAACTTTTAGGGTCTTCCAGGTTTAGAATCATATCGTCAGCAAATAGTGCCAATTTGAGTTCTTCTTTTCCTATACATATCCCTTTGATTTCTTTTGTCTAATTGCTCTGGCCAGTATTTCAAGAACTATGTTGAATAGAAGTGGTGGAAAAGGGCATCCCTGTCTTGTTCCAGTTTTTAGAGGGAATGCCTTAAATTTTTCTCCACTTAGAATGATGTTGGCCTGGGGCTTAGCATAGATAGTCTTTATGATGTTAAGATATGTTCCTGTTGTCCCTAGTTTTTCTAGTGTTTTGAACATAAAGGGGTGCTGGTTTTTGTCAAAATGCTTTTTCTGTGTCTATTGAGATGATCATATGATTCTTATCTTTTAAGTCTATTGATGTGATAAAGTACATTTATTGATTTCCATATGTTGAACCAACCTTGTATCCCTGGGATGAATCCCACTTGATCATGGTGCACAATATTTTTGATATGTTTTTGTATTCTATTTGTCAGAATTTTATTGAGAATTTTTGCATCTATGTTCATTAAAGATATTGGTCTGAAGTTTTCCTTTTTTTTTTTTTTTTTTGATGTGTCTTTGCTTGGTTTTGCAATCAGAGTGATATTGGCCTCATAGAATGAGTTTGGAAGTGCTGCCTCTTTTTCTATTTCCTGAAATAAATTGGAGAGTAAATAAATAAATTGGAG